TGACCTGCTAGCAGACTTGCATTTGAAAAATACTGAAACAGAGCTGAACAATAACAGCACCACTGCAAAGTGAAAGCATGCAGGCCTGTTGTCACTGGGTAGGAAACAAATTTTAAAAACCCAAAACAAGAACACCGCACAACAGGGAAAACATTCCTTAAGCATTCTGGACAGACAACATTCAGAGTTACTGATGTACCCTGCATTTCAAGCTGCTTACAAAGTTCTAGCAGCAGTTACTGGAATTATGAAGAAAAAAAAAAAAGCTTCACAAAGTTCCTTGAATTACAAAGCTTTCAGTTCCTTCTTATTGCAAGTTATTCTTCACCTCATAATGGGCATATTTCAGCACTTCACATAATTAGAATAAAAAATGCTGATTTTAAGGAGTCAAGAGATGAGAAAGATGGTACTTAAAACATAATTCAAAATATTACATTATACAAGCCAGCATGAATCTGCAAACATGCTCAGTTTCATTAAGAAAAAAATCTCTTAAATATAGCATGCTTCCTGCATACTGTCAAATTATTTATTCCTTAGGCAAAGAAATGAAATAGAAAATAGCATGACATTTTTTTAATAGAAGCAAATTAGTTCTGGGCCCCACAAACCCAGTAAAAGCCCTGTATTTTAGAGGTTTAATGTTCGAACACCAAGGAAGCCTAACACTAATGATTTGCCATCAGTCTTTCAACTAAGTCAAGAATGCCAAGATCCCCGGAAGATAAACTTTCACATCATCTCCAGAAATACAAAAAAAAATGTCTCGATTAAAAAATTACAGCGATACCACCAAAATCACAGAGGTAAGACAGAAAGATCTCTTTGCAAGATTGTTACTACTCAGAATTAATCAAAGCAAAACGGCCATCCTAGTGATAATCCCTTTCACAGTTTATGCAATAGTCAATTACTAAAGAGGATGAAAGACAGAGCAATCTTTGCAAATAGGTCACTGCCTATATTTATAATGATTAAAAGCAGTCTGATACTAAAAGTAACTTTTAATAAGCATAAAAATATTAAGACAGTGCATGTATTTTACTCAAATATATTTTATGTTTCCTATGACAGAAGAGGTAACACTCATCAAAAACAAAGCTACCTCACATAGGGTATGCATTAGCATTGCTTAAAGCAGAGTTTAATTTCTGTCTCTAACAACTTTATTCTGAAGTATCATCCTCAAAGATAACAGCTAATTACTCTTGACATGATCCCTGAACTTACCTAACTGCTTCTGTCTGCACTACACGCCTTCTCTCTCAAAACTTGTAAGCAGATTTTACCAGCAAACACTGCCCAAAGCTCCTTTTCAAGACCACTTTTTATGTCTTCCACTTTTACTTCAACTTTCCTTTCATGTTTAGGCATGTCTAAACATGTCATTCTTTAGTTCAGAACGATTACTCAGGGCTCTCCTGTATATTGCTGGGACCTCCCATCTGCTTCTTTTAAGTATTACTTGTCTCTGCTACAGAATTCTCCTCTTACAAAGTTTTCCTTTTTCCCCTATCCCTGGCCTCTCTGAGGAGTATTTTCTGCCCTTCCAGTGGGATCAGGACATCACACCATTTTCCTAAAATTTTATTGATTCTTACAGCTTCAAGCACCACCACTGTGTCAGTGATTTTTACACCCAGCTGTGCACTCCTGAACCATTTCATTCAATACCAATTCTACCTGCAGTTACCATCTCCACCAGAGATTTAAATCTCATTAAATTTGAGCTTGTTTTCTCTCAAAGCCTACTTCCCCTAATTACCTCCAGACTTCCTACAGTTCAAGTCCATAAACTGACATCTGATTCTCACAGTGCCTTATGCCCCATAGTTGCACCCAAGTTAGAGTTTCTTTGTTTAAAGTGTCAAGAACATTATCCAGTCATGATGTTTCTGTTTACCAGATCAGTTGCCTACATCTTCATGAGCAAATACTTCTGCTCACACTGTCACGTCTCCATCCTTCATTTCGTATAATATTTGAGCTGCTAAAAATACTTCCTTTATGCAGTAATTTGGAGACTCCAGATTTTCCACTATTTCTACAGCCAGCAAGTCTATAAGCTCAAAATTGTGCAGCTGCAGAACTTGCACTTCATTACTGAAAAAACAAAGGAGGATAATCTTCAGCAAATAATGTATCTCTCTTAGAAGAATCTCAGAACAGAAGCATTCCTCTGCATCTCATATGTTTGTATATATTGAAATATATACACTTAAAACATGTGGAAGGTTGGGCTAGGGTTCAATACTTAGTGCCTTAACCCCCTCAAAAAAAATCACCTACACAAAGACATTAAGGTAATTCTAGTTTCTAATCTTGCAAGTTGAAGAGAAAACACCTGTAGCTTAGACTTTATTATAATGCAGACTGCATAAAACCAAACTCCACAGCAGGCAGGGGAGGGAGAACCACAGTCAGTCTTCTGAAGTGAAATCCTGTTTGTGCATGAAAGCTGGGAACTTGATGTTCTCACTACAGACTAAGAGCAATAAAAACAGCTTTCTAAGCCATTAATTTCTGCACAGCTGATTTCTACTAAACAATGCTCATTATTGAAAGAATTCTAAAAAAACACAAGGCTGTTCCAGTGAGAAGGCTGACACTCTGAATATCTACACTGAGCTAAGGGTGACATCAGTGCTGCTCCTGCTTTAATCCCTATGGCTACTAAATGTCAAACATTTTATTTGTATTTAAAGAGCTTGCGATTGTGCACGAGATTAAGTTACTTCACAGTTTTAAAATAAGACAACTGCAAGGCACAGGGAGCATCTTGTTGCCCAAGACTGCAATAATGGCAAGAGCTTTGCTAGCATCAGTAAGGAGCTGCCATGATTCTTCCACAGCCAAGGTGTTTTATTTTAAGGACTTGTGATTTTTAAGCACTGTGAAAACTCCCACCTTCAGACCTTCCATAACCCAGTGAAGTCTACAAACACGTGCATAGCTGTCCCACTCAAATCCAAACTTAAAATATGTTGTAGCATTGAATGAAGTATATTGAGGTGTAGTATATAGTTGAACTATACTCAACACATCAGAAGGAACTGTCTTAACACACAATTTAAACTTTAAGGTGGTAAACTATTTAAAACAGGATATACTTTCTAAAGATGCCTCGGTATTTTCATAATTTGTGGGGCAATTGATTACTATAGCAATATATGGGCTACTACACATGCGTTTAAAATAAATATCTTAATTATTTTACCCTTCCCAGTTCTAAGTGGCTCACACAAACCACAGTGAGCTAAGACACTGCTGTATAGAAAGTGCAAGAAAATATCAATCTTCACATGGCATAAATAAGAAATCACTTAGGGGGTTGTTGGGTTTTTTTCCTTAGTAAATTTGGTAATCCTATTTACTCCTTATTATTTGTAGGGAGCATGAAGTGAAAATAAAATTGTCATAAAAGATACAAATATTAGAGTCACAAAGTCTCATAACCAGAGACATTCTAAATTTCAAAATTGAGGCCAAGAATAGAATAAGATTTATGTATTTTTTCACACATTAAAAATGACAGGACACTTAGGGGGTTGTTGGGTTTTTTTCCTTAGTAAATTTGGTAATCCTATTTACTCCTTATTATTTGTAGGGAGCATGAAGTGAAAATAAAATTGTCATAAGAGATACAAATATTAGAGTCACAAAGTCTCATAACCAGAGACATTCTAAATTTCAAAAATGAGGCCAAGAATAGAATAAGATTGAAAAACTACTGATTCCAAGTATTTAAATATATCTATAGGTGAGCTCATACAGTTCAAGAGTACATAAATCACCCCATCAATCTTGTATCTTTAAGACCTTCCTACACTCATTAAATAAGCAGCTTTGTCTTAACTGTGTCTTATTAGCAAGGTACTGATTCACAGCTCCTCATTATAAGATTTTTATTTCTAAAGTTAGCATCGACTTTTATTTGAATACCACACTTGAGTGAGCTCCTTTGGTACTCTAAAAACAAGCAGGCAAGTAGGATTGACTATAATGATCAGTTTGTACCCAGGCAACAACAGTCTCACATTACAAAGTAAGACAGCTCAAGACTAGGGAGCTTTTAACCTTAGAAATTTAAAATAACGTAGTATCTCCCCACAGAAAGATGGAGTGGAGGGATTCTCTATATACTCACATATATTTATGTGTACATATACATACATCATTGGTTCAAGAACAGACCTGGAATACAACAGACTAATTAACTTGGTTACCCATACCAGAAGTGACCAGATTATCTAAATCAGAGTGCTAATCTCTTGGTGGGGGTGGGGAGGCCTGTTAAAAAAAAATAATTATGTCAGAAAAACCACTTTACTAAGGAAAAAGGCCCTCAATGCTCAGTTTTAGCCTCAAGTGGGAGTACATCATTCCTGAGATTCTTCCATACTAATTAGCAAACTCACATGTTTTGAATTTTAATCCAGAATAAAGCTGTGAGGAGCAAAATGGGCAAGGCTGACCCATTACAACAAGCATCTACAAACAAAATTATCAAGCCATAAACTCCATATAAATCTTAAGTGTACCATTTTTAAACTATTAAACACACCAATACATCCATTTATAGGTCTGACACTATGTATACACATAGTTAGGAAAAGCTGACTGTAACACTATTATTTCAAAGAGCCAAGTGAGGAGTAACTGCAGTAGGCCCCCTTCCTCTGGAAGAAAATACAACCCAAATTCAGTGTCATCTCAGAACAATCTTAATAAAGAAAGAAGAAAAGCATTTCTGTAACATTCAATCACAGGATGGCATACGTTGAATTAATCCCTGAAGCAAAGTATTTCTGCAAGGAATAGAGCTATACACATCAACTTTAGACTTCAATAACCAGTTCATGCTGAGACGAGACATTTTCACTTAAACAATCTGAATGCATGAGAAATAAATTTCAAAACAGTAGCAAGCAATTATGGCAATAAGGGAACAAAAGGCAAAAAACATACAAATCTACAGGGATCACTGTTCAGCTTACCTGCACTTGTTCTGTGGAGCTACTACTGAGCTCATCTCCAGACTCTGAATCTTCCTGTATTTTTTCTGAGCCTTCTCCTGCTG